TAATAATAATAATAATAATAATAATAATAATAATAAATAAATAAAATAAATAAATAAATATGAAAGAACGATCGAGAAACATTTTTGTTATCCTTATTACAAAACGAGCATTTCATGTTCCTCGTCTTCCAAATATTTGTTAATATATTTTTTTCCTATTTATTTATCTTTTATTCTTTTTATTTTTTTTTTTTAATTCCATAAAATTTAACGTCGTATCGAATGACCACTTTCCGTATCAATATCAATCTCAATTATTTCAAAGGAAGTGCAAAAAATATGAATCTCGATCTGAAAAAGAAATATCGACCATTCGACTCACGATTGGTTGGAAAAAAGACCAACAAAAGAAAAAAAAAAAAAAAAGAAAAGAAACGTATTCGTCTCATCAACCCTTCCTTTCAACTTTAGACCTTTCATTCAAATCGTCTCGATTTGTTGATCGTTATTATTTTCTTTTTACTTATGACCTATGAAAAACGAAAAAAAAAAAAAAAAGAAGAAAAGAAAAGGAAGAAAAGAAAACCAAAAAATATCTTAAAAAATACACCTCAACGAAGTTCCTTTAATCGCAGCGTTAATCTCTAAGCACGATAAAGTAGCAATGTCCGGATTTTCAAGGCTTGATGAGCAAAATCGTTTGCTTCCTGCGTGGCGCCATCCGAGCGTGAAGGGGTTAATATTACTTAGCGCCTACGCATTTGTTCTCTCTCTTTTTCTCTCTCTCCCTCTCTCTCTCTCTCTCTCTCTCTCTTTCTCTTTTACTTTCACGTATTAATACCGTTTTCCCTCTTTTTTCTTTCTATCTGTTTACTCCTCTCTCTCTCTCTCTCTCTCTCTCTTTTTTTCTCTAATTTTTCATTTCTTTTATAAGATATTACGATTAATAACGATCGAATGAATTCGTCAATAATTTTTCTATAACTACTCGTATAATTCCTTTAAAATTTAAATGAAAGTATACATTTATATATATATATATATAAATATATATATATATATATATATATATATATATAGTGTATAAATATAGCACTATATATAGACTCTTCCTTGTCCTTTTTTTAATTATCATTTCTTTGTTCTTTTTTTCTTCTTCTTTTTTTTTTGTCATTTCCATCTTTGTCCTCCATCTTGATTTTTCATTCTTGCTATTATTTTTTTCTTCTATTCTCTTCTCTTTTTCTTTCGTCATTATTTTTCTCATTTTTGTTTTCATGCTCTGGACACTATCTTTTTTTCTCTCTTTCACTCTCTCGTGTCCTCTCGTAAAAGAATTCATGATTTTGTTCGGGGAGAGGTCGATTGACGGTACTTTAACGTGTAGAAAATTTCTTTTCTCTCTCTCTCTCTCTCTATCTCTTTCTCTCTCAGTCACTTTCTCCTCTTGTATATTTCTCCGCCCGTTTGTCTGTCTGTCTGTCTGCCTTGATTTTATCACGACGACTGAAATTATGTATTTCCTTTCTGTCTTTTTTTTTTCTTTTCCCTCTCTTTCTCTCTTTCTCTCTTTGTCTGTCTCTGTCTCTCTCTCTCTCTCTCTCTCTCTCTCTCTCTCTCTCTCTCTCTCTTTTTTTTTCTCTCTCTATTCTGTACCATGGGATATATATTCAGTCTTGTGAGTATACTCGTAGATATAAAGATTAAAATCACGGCAAATCGTATTTATTTAATAAAAGAACATTATTTATTTCTGTATATCATTGTATCGGTATATAATGCCTCCTTTTTATTTGTAGAATCGTTCGAATATGCGCATGTAATAATAA